AAAACATTTTGGTGATCCTTTTAAATCCGTTACCAGTCTCAGAAGCATTCACAAACATCTTTCTAAGGGTCATAGAGAGCTCTTTTGATCTTGACATATTGATATTACTTGCCATTCTCAGAGGCATTCACAAACATCTTTCTAAGGGTCATAGAGAGATCTTTTGATCTTGACATATTGATATCACTTGCAGCAATTGCAAAGAGAACACTAAACCCTAGATATCTGAGGTTTAAATAAGACAGGTCCCAACTTCCTAAGGAGGTACTATCATTGGCATCAGTCTGGAACACCTACTATCATGGGTTTTAAGTGGTGGTAAATGTAGAGGTGTATCTACTTTTTCCATGTGACAAATCTGCATTTTCATTAAATTAGATTAGGGAAATGAATTCACCATACTCATTATGTGCCATGTGATCAAGTATATAACCTTTTTTTCTGTACTAGGCAGTTTGAATGGAAATCTGATGTTTGCCTGTTCAAATACGTTGAAAAAGTCAACAGTTTTCATAGGGTGTACTTAATTTTTCATTTGACTGTATCTGGGTTTATTAGACTCACCCATAGATTGCTTAGAGAATTAATACACAGTCACTTTTTAAAAATGTATAACACGTTCATAATATATCTTGATTTATTAAATATACTTCAGAGTCACTTCAGAATGCATAATCAACATTCAAGCGTTTAGGAAATTGTGTTGCAGACTATAATAAAAAGCTCAAATGTCAGTATGACTACAGTTGATATACGAGCCAATCTATGAGAGTCATCATTCATAAGAAGAGGATGTTTAATTTTCTTTTATAAAAGTATTCAATTCATCTAATATATGCGTTTTAGATCTACACTGTATGCCCCTATTTATCTTTTATGGTGGCTGTTCTTTTACATATGTTTTTATATGAAGATATTTTATTTGATTCAAGATAAATGTTTTATTGATATAAGCATGGTGAAAAGTACAACGAAATGCTTAGTTGCATGCATTCTCACACTCTAATATAGACAACACATAACTGAACAGAGTCGATCAGAAATAGCAGCACTATACTAACAAACCTAAAATGAATAATTGATAAATAAAAGGGACAAACTAAAGTCACTGTGGGCAGAATATAAATATAGTCAGCATTGCTTTTTAAAGGGAATGTATAGTGTTTGTAAGTATATCTCTTTGTTGATCATTATGATCAGGGCTAAAATCTAAAATGTTTATTTTTTTCTAACCAGATAAGTCTTAAATCTGGCATATAAGTATTTGATATTTACCACAGGTAGGGAGCTCTAAACCTCAGTTCTGGAGGCACACATAGGGGTCTATTCACAAAGCTGCCGAAGGATCTGGCCGTAGCTTCGGCCGATCCTTCGGCTAGCTTCGGCACCAGGACCCCTTCGGTTCAGGAGAACCGAGGGGGTGCTGTACGGCTATTCACAATAGCCCGTACAGCTCCCGATCACGGCCGAGCGGCTCAGTCGAGCGCTGAGCCGTGCTGAAAGACGAAGCTGGCCGAGCGGCCGGCCATTGGCCGGCCGACAGCCTGCTTCTGACAGCTGGGCGG